ATCTCTCCTTTAGGTGTGTGCCAACCTCGACATTCCTGGCCCGCTACACCTGGCGATCCTTAACTGTCCCCCAATTCTCACATGTGGCTTATTGAAGCTAGGCTCTGCTTAGCGGCCTCAACCGGTGGGCCGAACGAGGTGAGGGTATAAGGTGCTGTGCGTGTTCCCACACTCGGTAATTCTATTCCCCTTTCACCCTCCCTCCCCCACTTTAAAATGTTCTAAGAAGAGGGCTAGATGCAATCCTGTGGACGGAACAAGCTCATTCGAGTCGCCCTTCCACTAATTCTAACCGCGACCCATAGTGGCGTGTGGCAGCCGCCCGGGCTGTCTCAGCAGCTTTACTTAGTGGCAGCACTACCTACTTCCTCGCGGAGGAAGGAGCTAGAAAAGGTGCTCTAAATAAATGCTGGTATCACGTCTTCTGCATGTCGACCGCGACTCGCAGATGCATCACTCGTAGTCGTCTGAACAGACAAATGCAAACTTCTTCCGCTGATCCAGTTACTGGGACACTGTTGCATGATAAATGGACGCCTACTGGGACGAGCGCACTGGCATACCATCGCCTATAGGAATAAGCAACATCTCAATAGCCGGTGCATGTAAACGCCGACTCGTCTATCTACGACAACCGTCAACGACCTGGTAGACTGCGCCTTCACCTCCGCGACATGACAGCATATGAAAAGGAGCATGCAAATTTTAAAAGACACCCGCGCCAACATCGGGCTGACCATGAACACGAAAAAACAGCAATCATTAATCAGCTGTCACCCAACACTGAATACAGTGTCCGCTGAATCATTGTCAATGGCAGGCAAATCAAATCCATGGGCAATTTCGCCAATTTAAGCAACACACTCACGCAGCATCAAGCCCGACGACGAAGTGGTCCACTGGATCTGCAAAAGCAGCCAAGCCTACAATCGGCTATAAGACTCTGTGTTAAATCACTACAAGCTCCATCTCGACAGTAGCCTTTAAAGGTACAAAGCTGTCACCTTGAAGAAATTGCTGTAAAGGGCGAAGGCGTGGACCGTCTATGTCAAGCAAGTCAGAAAATCCAGTCACTCCCACCCCAGCTGTCTCCGGACAACACTAAAACTAAGATGACAGGAGAGGGTCCACAACACGGAAATCTAGGCACGGACCGAAATCCTCGGCGTTCACGCCATTCTGGGGCAACGAAAACAACCATGGAGTGG